AAAGGTCTTAATTCTAAATGATTCTTGCTAATTGCCAGTTTTACCTATTCGGCACGACATAAAATACATTCACACAGATCGACTCCCAGGTCCACAGGAGTTTTTACTTCACCATGTAAGGGAGGATGAGCCAACTGGCCTACTGCTGGAAGACGGAGATACAAACTTAAAAAAATCTTTTCACAACACTCTGTAGGCTTTTATCAAGTCATGACTTGATGAAAGCTCTACACTCTATGAAATTCATGATATGCAAATTTTACCTCCGTCACAAATAATCCGCACATAGAATAGATGTTTCAGTCCGACTTGGACGAAAGAGAGCCAAGTCGGACCGAGACGTTGTCGTAAGCTGCTCTCTCCCTTATGTGCGGGTTATTTGTGTATTGATTCAGTCACGGTATTGAACCTTAATCTTTATACCTGCCTTCAACACGTCATTTCATTCAGAAAAAATTAGAATTCATTTATCAAGTCAACATCTGGGCAAGACTGACTCCAATTAACAGGAGTATTATTAATTTGGACAAGAATACAAGAATACAATAGATAAAAGTCTAATTTTTTTTTTTGGGGCAACAAACAGAGGCATGCTAGTTAATTAAAATTAGGATCGACTTTTAGTACAGAGTTCTTTTAATGCAAATTACCCGGGCAGATATTACGCAAATTAGATACCAATTATTTTTTTTAGTGTATAACAATACTTTGTTTTGGGTATAAAACACTTAACTGGACATGAGTAATAAGGATTAAACTCTGATCATAAAATTTGGTTTTAAAGAACAAGCGCTCTTCCTATCCTATTTTCTTCACTCAGTCGTTATTCTCCTCTTCTCTGCAAAATTTTCACGCTTCACACTGGTTCCCAACACGAGTTCTCAAGGTCCTTTAAAAAGCAAGAACAGCATCACCACATCTCCACAACCTCCAGCCTCCTCCTCCTCCGTGTTGCAACACTCAAAGACTTTTCTGTCGCCCCTACAATAGTGTGGGCACCACGTACGTTGTCTTATGCACTGCAATTTTCGCATCCATGTCAATTTTCTTTTTTTCTGCGGACGCCTGAACACTTGCTGCTTTTTTAGTTCATCTTTTACGGACACATCTGTCGATATATCCATCCCAAAATACTAAATACATATACAATCTGGCAATATGGTGATTCTAGAGTCTTATATTTAAAACTGACCATAAGGAATTTCGACTGAACTTCCTCGTATGTATCAGTTTTTTCCATATATTTTGCCTATTGATTTAGACTGCTTATCTTTTTGTTATCGTCTGCCATAACAATGCTTTAGTCTCAATTCCAAATTATATGTTAGTTACGTTTTTGAGGATAAGGGGAGGCTCGTGGCACGTAATAACTTGGCCTAATCTGCCACGAATCTATTTGCCATCTCTTAAAATCTGTTAATCAGTTTCCATGACTGATTCTCTAGATATCCCCATGACTTTCCGCTAGATGGAATAGTCTCAGGACTGTTCCGTAGACCAAGTGGCCTCGAAAACTTTCAACTTTGCATCTCATGTTGAGCGTACAAGACGTAAGACAAGCTGGACTACCCAAGACGTCACTGGCACAAACACGATTCACTTTTTTCACTCCCTTAAAACACTAAATTTACCGTCCAGCAATCTTTCAACAATTTTTTTCATTATTATATGCATAGTTTTATGACAGTTTTTTTAAATAATTTTCACGATTTTGGCCTTCCATGCTTTTCAGAAGATTATTTTTGCCTCGAATGTGTAGGTGTGTAAGCTGAAGCTGTGTTTGTTGATAAAAAAAAATAGCTGACTAGCTGGCTTCGTTTTGTTGCATAATAGTGGAGTTCTTCACGGACGTGGGATTTCGTGGAGGCATGTAAATAAATCCCACCGCTGACACCATTTGTCAGCGGCTTTAGTGGTGGGTGCAGTGGTGGTGGTGGTGATGGTGGTGGTTGTAGAGGTGGTAGTGGTTGTGGAAGTGGTGGTGGCGGTGGTGGTTGTGCTTTATGCGTCAAGAATGAAGGAAGCATCTTCGAATGCTGAGCGTGGTTCTTAGCTATTAATACAACCACTCTTGTACCATTACTGGGTAGCAGTGCTTAATCAACCACTGGCTAACCTATCTTGTATACTTAGACGTATTATAAACCGCCGCTGGCATCCCGGAAGAAGGTCTTCCCTCCCATTTAAAATCAGATGATTCCAATTTCGAGAGCATGAGAAGCCTGAGGCTTCACTCTTGTCTCGGTTGACAAAAAAAGGCCAAAAGTGATGGACGTGACCATTTTTTCCCCCCAGGATGGAGGTAGCTGCGCTGGTGCTGCCGAAGGGTTTCTTCTTGTGTCATGAGAGTGCTGCCTTCACTACGTCCACGACTCACTGAAGATGGCAGCACCTGACATGAGAGTCAAGGAAGTGAATCGGGCGGGGAGATGGGGGGAATATGAATGGCAGCCATCTAGCTGCCATGCTCCTCTTCCACCTCCCCTTTCCCCCTCCCCCTCGACCTTCCCCCACCTCATCTCCCCACTTCCCTCCTCCTCCTCCTCCTCCTCCTCCTCCTCCTCCTCCTCCTCCTCCTTCCTTCCTTCCTTCCTTCCTTCCTTCCTTCCTCCTCCCTTCTTTCCTGATCTACATCCTCCTCCCTTACCTCTTCCTCCTCCTCTCTCTCTCTTCATTGTCCAACTCACTTCTTCCTTTCCTTCTATTTTTCCCTGTCTTCCTCCTTTTCCTTCTTTCTGTCTCTCTTTCCCCAGTTCCAAGTCCTTTCTCTCCTCTACCTTTCTTCCTCCTCAGTTATCCCTTCCCTCATCCTCCACCTCTCCTTCAATCCCTCCTCAACTTCCCCTCCTTCTCCCTTCCCTCCTCCTCCTTTTCCTCCCTTTCCCCATCCATCTCTCCTCCCTTTCCTCTTCCCCCTCTTCTCCATTTCCTCCCTTCCCTGCCTCTTCCCCATTTCCTCTTACACCTCTCCGCCCTTCCCTCCTCCTCCCTTCCCTCCTCCTCCCCTCCCTCCTCCTCTTCCCTTCCCTCCTCCTCCCTTCCCTCTTCCTCGCTTCCCTCCTCCTCCCTTCCCTCCCTTCTTCAATCAATCAAAAACAGAGCTCAAACTGTTCATAAAATTCATTCGTATTCAATTAACTTAGCGAGTCTCCTTTACAATTTTAATTCCTATTTTTAAAATCATCACTGTCAAAGATTTCGTCTTCAATATACTTACCAGTATAAGATCTAAACTTAATGAAGACACACTTCAATAAACAGTATTTCTTGCCAAACAATTTCTCCTAAGATAATTTCGTTCCTCAGCCGACAGCATCAGACATTCTGTAGAAGATACAGGTAATTAATTACTTTACCAGACGGAAAGAGTCACCAAGAGAAATGCGCTAATGTTAGGGGATATTTATACTGTGGATACATATCACTTCGTCTGAGTTCTTTGGATTATCTTGGGTAATTTACACATATGTTGCTATGTATAATAATTGTATTTACGTGTACCTGTACCTACATGAACTTACTAACCCACACATGAAGCATCTCTCTCCTACATGCGGGTTATCTGTGTATTGTTCCTGTCAGGATATTGTTCCTTTGCAGTCTCCATCTCGGGGTAACCTTGAGACTATACTCAAAGGTTAGCGAGAAGGCGGACAATATCTCGCCTTAGGCTATTATGATTTTGAGAGATTGTTGAGAGTTGGGAAGGGAATATCACCTCGGAGAAGCATATTATAGTGATCAGAAACTGGTGAGGGGAACACAGCTTTTCCGTGAAGCTTAAGATTGCGTAAAGAGATTGGTAAGAGAGAGGGGTACTGTTTTTTTTTTAATTTAATAAGAAGGATGGTAAGAATTTGAAGGAGGGAAGACTAGGATAGGATAAAGCAGTGAAAAAGGTCGTGGGTTGAGAGGATGAGAAATATAAGGATGCTTTACTAGCCTGACCACTTTGGGTAAACCAGCGGGTTAAAGAGAGTAGTTTCTGCCACGTAGAGGATAGTGTTACTGCCTTAGTAATAAGGTTAACAGTGTTACTGCCATGGTAATAAGGTTTATAAAGTTTTTGGTAATAAGGTTAATTAGTGGTACATCATATTAAGAAAGTTAACTAAGGCACCAACAGACAGGTAAGGAAGCGCTGCATCTCAGGGACACGATGTATACACCCAGAGTATACTCTGTGTATACTCCCAGAGTTTACTTCAATCCCTATTATAGGGTGTAAGGTAATCTTGACGGGAGTTGGAAAAGGTTACATAGTACTTTAATAAGCCTCGTGTAGTCGATAGGCTTTAAACCCCATTAATCATCCTCGTAAAGCTTATTATCAAGCTACAGCATTATAATTATAATTATAATTATAATTATTTTCATTGTATGTGTTGCGTATATACATTTTTTATTGTTAAGAGCTCTGACTGCATACACGATCAAAGCTCTCTGTAAATAACACCACAACAACAATAAACAGTAACTACTGTTACTGTTACTACTACTACTACTACTACTACTACCTACTACTACTACTACTACTACTACTACTACTACTACTACTACTACTACACGATACTATAACAATGATCTGTGGCTTGGTTTTGCACAACACTGCAAAGATGAGTGTCTGTCAACACGAGATGCAACTAAGTACTCATTTCAGCAGTAATTTTCCAGTATTAAGAGAATATGTATGGATCATTACATTAATCGCTTAGGTGTGTTTTTTTTCACTAGTGTTCATTCTCCTCAAATGAAAGGATTTATGTGGATAATGCTGTACGTGTTTGTTTTAGGAGTATTAATGTTCTCACAGAAGCGGATGTACAGGCAAACTGGCAGCAAATCTGAAGATAAAAACATCGGTGCAGAACAAGGTTTTATAGGGACTACGTTTCGATTTGAACTAGTAGTAGCAGCAGTAACAACAACAGAAGCAGCAGTTGAGGCAGAAGCAGCTGCAGCAGCAGCAGCAGCAGTAGTGTTGGCAGCGTCGGGGGGACAGCAGCAGTAGGTGAGTTCAGTGGTGGTGGTGGTGGGGACAGGACGTGTGTGCGTGGTGATAGTGTGCAGCCTCCGGATCCTTCATCCCGATCCTTCCCATCCCTGAGTCTCAAGGTAGGATAGCGGGACTCTCACTTCCTCTCCTCGCTTATTCATTCTCTTGACTCGCTATTTTTATTTACTTTTTTCACTCATTGAGTTCGCTTAGTCACTGTCTTGGTTCGGTCACTCTCATGATTCACTGTTGTCACTGTCTTGACTCGCCCCTTAGCCTTAAGTTTTTCCATTCACTTTCATTATCTCCACTCACTCTCTCCAATTACCGGTCATTTAAATATAATTACAGGAGTAACTAGTAAATAATTATATATATATATATATATCAATAACAAAACTGCGACTAGCCGGGAGATCGAACCAGTGTTGCTTTAGCCCGCCTCATGGTGAGCGAAAACTCCACGACGCTCTAACCCACGGGACCATACAGTCTTAAAAGAATCACGCATCCAGCAGAACTAGGTGTTGTACCGTGATCCGAGGACATACTATGGTGTGGGTGCCTCAGAGCTAATTTTATTCTACTCCCCGTTTGGTGTACTAGCCACCACAAGCAGTATATATCGTATTGTAACTACGAACACGGATATTGAAGACGGGTTCGATCCCCTGGACAGTCGTAGTGTTGTTATTGATTTAATTCCACTCGTTCGTGGTTACAATACGAGTAATATATATATATAATGTCGTGCCGAATAGGCAGAACTTGCGATCTTGGCTTAAATAGCAACGCTCATCTTGCCATATAGGACAAGTGAAAATTTGTGTATGCAATAATTTCGCCAAAATCATTCTGAACCTAACGAAAAAAATATATTTGATTGTGTTTGTTTAGTATTAAATTATTGTAAACGTATTTAAAATATATTTAGTTGGGTTAGGTTAAAATAAATTGCTCTTTTTATAATAAGGTTAGGTAAGTTTTCTAAGATTCTTTTGGTGCAAAATTAAATTTTTTTACATATTAATGAAAAATATGTCTTTAAACGTATAAGAGATAATTTCAGAAAGGACTTAATTTTAAATAAGTTCTTGCTAATTGACCAGTTTTACATATTCGGCACGACATATATATATAATATCAAAAATTTGACTGTTTAAATCTCGCATAAATATTTAATTCGTTAGCTAATTTTTTCTTCATAATTGCGTTTCGACGATTATTATTTTTACTCTTAATGGTAATCAAAAAAACGTGTGATTTAGCAATAAATGTAATGAATTATTTTATATATATATCCCTCGAACACAAACTTGAAGGAAAGATACAGGTTGAAATTGATTGACTAATGTTGGTTGCTGAATCAACTGTACTCAATTAGGGGACTGGATAATTTAATGGAATCAGAAATGATAGGATTGTAGGCATTTTAAGTACGTGAGAGAGACTGTAACGACTCTGATGGATTAAAGTGAGTTTAATTCCAGACTGTGCACTGCAGGTAGGCCACTGGGGCCACGAAGGTCATTTGGCCCACAAGGGCCACTGGCCACTTGCTCGTACTAGGGCAACTAGTCAATGAAAACAGATATTAATAGAGGACAAAACACCTAATTACATCAATTCTCTTGAACTATAATCTGTGCAACAAATGCTAAGGAGGTCGTGCGTACACGAACTGGTTACGCCATTCGTTGATTATAAGCTAGTATACGCAACAGGAAGGTAGGAAAAAGTGCTATAATTTAATGAAGGGCGGGAAATCTTGATGCTGTTTCGGAATTTGTCATTAAAAGTTATCCAAAATAAGAAATTCTTGAGGCAGTGGATTCGTAAAATCTCGCACAAGGAAGGTGATTGTGAGTTCAATATTTTTAATCTCGCGGGGAAGCGCTAAACTCGTAGGGGGGCCACACAGGACTTATGGCAATAAAATAATGCGAGGGTTATGGTATTTTTTTAATTAAGATGTTTCGCCCAGCAGTGGTTTTTATGCCCACTTAAAAATAACTCGGTTCAGTTAGTGTGAAAGATTTTTTTTTTTTTTAACCGTTATTTCCTTTTCGCACAGAACACCAATAAAATCCCAGGACCAAATTAAATTACGCTTTATCGATGCGATTTTATTAAGGAGCAAATCAAGTCCCTGGCGATCGAAACTTATTCTTAATGAGAATATAATTAAGCTACTGACTGAGTGATGGTGAAAGTCTTTCTTCAGGAGTGACTCCACCTCGGTGGGAGGCGGCAGGTATGATGGAGATAGTTTCTTTTGTGTCGTACTTGCACAGTGTGAGTACATTCTGTCGCTGTGTTGCCTGCATGTCAGGTTTGATCCAAGGAGGTGGAAAAGAGTTGCTCCAATTCCTTGAACCAAAAGCTCTATCTTGGTTCTATGGCAACACACACACACACACACACACACACACACACACACACACACACACACACACGATGTAGTGGAGGCAGGATCCATACATAGCTTTAAGCAGAGGTACGATAAAGCTCATGGTTCAGGGAGAGTGACCTAGTAGCGACCAGTGAAGAGGAGGGGCCAGGAGCTTATATTCGATCCCTGCAACCTCAACTAGGTGAGTACACACACACACACACACACACACACACACACACACACACACACATATACATTTATATATATATATATATATAAAATATATATATATATATATATATATAATATATATATATATATATATATATATAAATATATATATATAAAAGATATAGGTGATAGTTGATCTGTTAATTAGGTTTAAAGCCTGTCTACTATGGTCATTAAGACTGCGTGTAGCTTGTTCACTATCCGTCTAAAACACATTAGTGCTCTAAATAGTGAAGGTTGAACGTATATACCCTGAGAGACTTACACCTTTCGGTGTATTGTATGACTCCTGGTGTTGTAGCCTGACTCTTACGGGTTTAGCCCTTGCTTTGGACTGCTGCCTTAAACGTAAATTACGTTGGCATATATTAATTATAGACAGGTTTTTTTTTGGGGGGGAGGGGGCGGCTTAAGAGAAATGTATATTATATTTTACAACAGTTTCTCATTTAAATTTACCGAATTAAAAAAAAAATAATTACATGGCGTTGAAAAAAATTTAAATTCAGTCGAAAATTCTAAAACTTTAATTACCTTGTATTAATTTTTTTTGCACTCTCCACTGATGCTCTTTACCCCCCTAGGTAATTAAATTTTTAATTATTTTTTTTTTTGTGTAGTTACAATGGAAGCGGTTGCTGGAGGCTCGATCCCGCTGTCTCTTGCAAGATTTTTCTACCTTGGTGATGCTTGTGGCTCGCTCTGTCTCTTCTCTGATTTTAATACTGTCGTTTACTGCTATTGTTTACCAGCATACTGCTATTGTTTGCCAGCATACTGCTATTGTTTACCAGCATACTGCTATTGTTTACCAGCATACTGCTATTGTTTACCAGCATACTGCTATTGTTTGCCAGCATACTGCTATTGTTTGCCAGCATACTGCTATTGTTTGCCAGCATACTGCTATTGTTTACCAGCATACTGCTATTGTTTACCAGCATACTGCTATTGTTTACCAGCATACTGCTATTGTTTACCAGCATACTATCTAAACTATTACTCGTTGCAATGTTTAAAATTGTCCTCTTAAATTATCCGCATTTCACACACACACACACACACACACCTAGTAACGATCAGTGAAGAGGCGGGGCCAGGAGCTCGGACTCGACCCCCGCAACCTCAACTAGGTGAGTACACACATTATATATTGTTTGAATTGTGACATCCCTTGCTAGCAAGGTAGGTATTAACTGAGCCATGGTGAATGTGTTTCTTTCTCTGGGGATCATTCTACGTTGATGGACGAAGGTGGATATGCAAAAAAAATGGTTGAAGATCGATCATTTTCTCCTGAAATATTCGGATGATTTTTCCCCAGTTCTGACCATGACAACGGATGATGGATCTCAGTGACGTACTGGCAACGTTGGGGAGGAAAAGACGTACATGTTTTTATTGGGAAAACGTTTCGCTCGTTAGGGATGTATCAAGTCATGGCTCGATGAATATTTGATGACTGACTTGGTGGATGGTCAGTCAACTCTTTAAGGCCTTACTTCCAGCTCTTCCCTGAGACGTCTCCCCAAAACCTTTCAACCAGCCAAGCTTTATATACCTTTCTAATTTTTAAGTCTTGCTAAAGTCTACCACAGCAAGATATGTCAGCACTCAGTCTTCAACAAACTTACAACGACGTTTCGGTCCGACTCTGAACATTTAACTAGTTAATAGTTCAGGTTGAATCGAAATGTCGTAAGCTTGATTTTGCTATATGAGAAATGTTTGTGTCGCTCCAGTCACGATATTGTGATTTTTTAATTCTCTAGTGAACCATACTTTACATGCCGCAACATCGACTTCAGATATATTCATTTTTTTATACTCCGTACCATGTTCACACTTCATATTGATCTCAGGCGGGGGCGTTGATCCCTGGAATACCCTCCAGGCAGACTCCAGGTAGCCCTTTGCAAAAGGATCATCCCAATTAGTCTGTTTAAAGAATTAAACACCTTTGCAATACTTGGGTATCTATATTTTGAAATCATTTCTCCAGCCAGTGGTTTCATCAGCCCTATAAGAGAATCGTAATCAGTCCCTCAGTCTGGAGATGTATTCAGCCCATACTGGGCCAACAGGCCTACTGCAGTGTTCCTTTCTTATACAGGGACAAATTGCCCTTTTGCTCCACGGATTTTTTTTTTTTTATATAACTTTTCAGCTACTTTCCTTCCTCTATTCTGTGATTTTCGTTTTTCTTGGACCAACCTGCCAACACAACCACTCACAAATATGTAAACATTAACTTCGTGTATACATATAAATACGACCGCCATGACATAGCTTCAGCATCGTTTGCTTTCAGAATTTCGGGTAGCGGCTCCACAGATTGCCACTCCCTACGAGCCCCGAGGGACAGGGAAGGTGGCAGACCAGCTGCCTAGATACTCCCTGAAGCCCCGTGTGGGCGGGGATGGTAGCTAGGAGTAGGGACATAAAGTATCCCAGAAAATGAAGAGGTACACCTCTTCCCCCTCTTTCCATGGA